TGAGTCAATCAATGAAATCTCTTTTCCAAGCACTTGATTAAAATTGAATTAATTCCCTCCCGAGTACCCCTACTCGGCCAAGGATGAATCATTATTACAATTCCCTCCCAATTACTTTTACTTGGCTAAGGTTGAATTAATTAATTCCCTCCCGAGTACCCTTACTCGGCCAAGGATGAATCATTATTACAATTCCCTCTCAAGTACTTTTACTTGGCTAAAGTTGAATTAATTAATTCCCTCCCGAGTACCCCTAATCGGCCAAGGATGAATCATTATTAAAATTTCCTCCCAAGTACTTTTATTTGGCTAAGGTTGAATTAATTAGTTTACTCCCGAGTACCCCTACTCAGCCAATAATGAGACAAACAGAAGTATTCAGTGTTAAGGAAATTTTTAAAAATGTTATATCTATTCGGTTTGGTTGTTTTTCATAAAAATACTCAGAAGATAACAAGAAAAAAATTGAACTTGTATTCATGTTTGAAAGGATTACAAAATTTGGGTGCTATCAGCCCATGAATACAAAGAAAATCAAAAACCTATTTCTAATTTCCCTCTTCTCCGGCATCAGGATCAGGGGCCTTAGGTCCGAGAGCATTGTTATTAACTTCTACTCGGCAGGGGACTTCGGCGTCAGGCTCCACATCATCATCCACTTCATTATATGATAAAAACCTACCACCGAAAAGTCTTTGGTAAGATCAAAACGGAAGTCGGCTGGCACTTGGCAGAAACCATAACATTGACGAACAACATGGTTAAAGCCTGACTCGTATTTGATAGCCACTTGAATTGAACATTTATCAGAAAAGGATTTCAGTTCGGTATTAGCCTTTTGCCTTTCAAGAGCCAACGCCTCTTCCATTTCAATAGATTTGGCCCTTAGGGCCTCATTCATTCCCAAATACTTCACCCTCAGAGCCTCCATTTCCTCCTCCTTATCCCTTAGGGATTGCTCGGTAGCCTGGAGCTGATTCTCCACTATATAATAGTGTTCTTTGTATTGAACAACATCGGCCTCCAAAGCTTTATTAGTCTCAGCAAGATTCAGCCGAATCTCTACATTATTCGCTAAAGCTTGCTGAGAGGAGGAGTACTTGTTTTGCACCCTCTTCACCTCAAGTGTGGGCTCCAGAGCTAGTCTTTGGAGCATCATCATGGATCGGATTTGAAGCTCTGCGTAGCATCACCACAAAGATTCGAGGTCTAGGTTGCTGACCGCTTCCTTTCTTGCATCGAAAAGTAAGTCAGGGGCAACCACTCGTCCAGCATGTACCCCAGGGACGAGGAAGGTGTCAGATAAGATAGCTGGGGGAATAGCAGGGTTTGAAGAGCCGCCAACCCTAGCCATCAGGTCACCTCGGGCTTGACTTTGTGCCCCCTCTAAACCACTCGGTCTACCCGAATGGGAATTCTTTCTCTTTTTCTCCCTCTCGACCTCTTTCTCTTTGCCTTTTTCCTTTTCCTTCCCCTTTTCCCTGCGCCTCTTGGGCTGACTCTCTGTAATGGCAAGGTCTCGGGGAGGAGGACGAGGCCCAGTTACCTCTGGCATATGGTCGAGTTGAGGGTTTCGGTGCTCCTCAATGGGTGTGTTTTCAGGGGTCCTGGTCTTTAGGGTTTGACGATATGTTGGTACGTTAATACCACGTTGAGCCATCAGACCTACAATAAAAATAAAAAGTCAAATCAATACAACTTGGTTCAAAAACTAAGTCATAAGGACGAAATATACCATCTATGTCCAGACGAGGATGAGGAGATTTTAACACTAGGAGTATGTGTCGGGTGAGAAATTCTCAGGGAAAAGACTTCAAGTAATCCAAAGTCGATAACTCTCTGGCCGAGAACAGGTCCTTAGGAATCCAGTCATACCAGCGAGGCACTCGGGTCTAGTGAAAGGGAAAGAGGGGATTGTTTTCACAATCAAAGACAAAATTTATACCTACAAGGTGGACAGTTACTTTGAAGTAGCCGGTCTTGAAACCCTTAAAAGATGAAGCGTAAGGCTTGAATAGTGGCAATTTCGGTTGCCTTATTAAAGATATCCACCTTGCTAAGTCTGATGGACGAGTACAAAAGAAATGAAGAAATAAGTCTACACTAGGTTCTATATAATAAAATTTACAAAGTACTTTAAAAGCTTGGATACCCGCCCCACCCATTCGGATGGAGTTGTATCGGCGCTACATTTAAAACCCTCGGTACTCCCATTTGGAAGTCGTCAAAGGGCAGCCTTATACCTAATTCCCTAAACATATACTCATACACAAAGAAGGTGTCAGCCATTCTGGTACTCCTTAGAAAAACAAAATCAGGGTTCCCGGTTTCCTCTCCTCGGCAAGGGTTAATGGATATGGGGTAGAGATTGAAAGGTTCTCGCAATGAAATCTCACAATGGTCAACAAAAGATTTGAGACTCCTATTTTTTCTAAATCCTGAGAAGTAGGCGGCTACTTCACCGTGTACCCACTCGTATCTGAGAACTGCACAGGGGGAATACTGGTCTTTCCCTAGGGGGCTCATGCTTGGTAGGAGTTCGGAAGAGTCAGAATCAGTAGACCCGGAGGATTGGCTTCATCACTGCATTCTCTGAATTGAGTCTCTACTTCCTCTTCATTTACCCCACTCAGTCTTGAAGAAAACTCACCCCCCTTCGATTCTCTTAACATTTTAATCACCAATGTTGGTCGACCCAGATGAGTCTGACAACGAGTCCTCCCATTCTAAGGATTCAACCATGATAAAATAAGAAAGAGAAGACAAGACTAAACATACCTCACAGGTAGTCAGTTCGGAAGAAAGAAAGAAAATTTGAATACCCTTCAGTTTGGAGCAATAGTGTGTACTTCTCGGCTCAGAGAAAAAGTGGAGAATAAAAGACCTGGACCACCATGTATTTATAGGAGATGTGCTCTCAGACATACGAAGGGTCGCCTCCTTTCCAGACCATTAGATCTCTTCCAAATCAACGGTTCAGAGCAGACACCCCTTCTTCTTGCGCGCACACATCGAGGAAACCCTAAAAAACCTAAAGTTCTAGAATGATATTTTTTTTCATTATTATTTATTTTATTTTTAGGGTTTTTTATTTTTACCTCCTCAGTCTACACCACTTTTTTTATAAACTGAATACCCCTTCAGTGCACACACACCCCTCGTTTATACTTGAACCGAATACCCTACTCGACTAACTTACGTTGCTTAAACCGAACACCCCTCTTGGTATTCCTATCCATCCCACAAAATCGAGTACCCTTTCGTCTACATGTTTTTGGCACCTGTATATTATTAAGCCCTTGCCTCGTACCTCTTCAGGCTTAGGGGACTAGTGTACTGGATAGGGAACTGTTCGGTCCTACATATAAAAAAAGAAAACTGAGTACCTATTCGGCCCAGTTTGGCACAACACCTTTTGTCAGGATTAGAAGGTAATTAACCTAATTCAGGGTAATAATCAAAGTATTATCTACTTTAAAGTAAAGGGTCAAAATCAAGACTGACTCAGCAAGCCCATTAGCCCATAACAATGCCTATAAAAGGAAGGTAGGAAGTACAAGTAAAGGGTTGACTTTTCATTATTAAATAGCATTTATTGCTCAAAACCGAATCCTAACTTCATCATCGGAGTGCCTTTTGCAGGTACCCTTCCCACGTCAGCGACAGTTAGAAGGATGTCACTGTTTCAGAGCAGAAACTTGAAGACTAGTGTTTCCCTAACAGGAACAATATCTAAATTATATCTTGTTACTATATGATACAATGAAGAAAAGGAAGACACAATTCAAATGACCTCACATAACCATTGCAGAGAGAGCTGGAAATATATTATAATTGTTTATTAAATTAATTTCATTCTTGTCTTTCTTTGACTATTAGTTATATTATTACAATATTTCTTATTTATATTGTACTTTACAATATTACTATTTTTTTATTTTATTTGTAAGAAATAATTATAAATAATTTTTTAGTTTTAAATATAAAAAATAAAATCTATTTTTCATATACATTAATTGTTACATTTATTTTAAAACTTTTATTTATGATTAGTTTTGTGTTATTGAAGTGCACATTCTTTATATATTAAAGTAAACACATTTATTCAATTGATATATAATATATTAATTTGATCACTTAACATTATAGATATTTTTTTGAATAAAATATAAACTTATGACATGTAACTATTTTTTATTAGTCTTAATGAATTAAGTATTTGTATAGTATATTTATATTTTCTCATACTGATATAACTTTTCTTGAAAATTTCATATTTTCCCTCTTCTCTCTTTTGAAGTTTCTAATGATGAGAAATTTAATTACAAACATTACACTTCTTCAATAAAAAGATTGAAAATTTTTTTTTGATGGTACAGTCAACAATTTTAATGTGAACCAAAGTTGAAAAAAGTTCCCCCAAAAAAAAAAAAGTTAAAGGGAATTATTTGGGTAATGGTGAAAATGTAATTTGTGAATTTTAATTTTTCTATACTCTTATATTACATTCCTATTAAATATCACATCACATAATAAAGAGAATGAGAGAAGAAATCAATCTTTTTTTATACGGGTGTAAATGACAGTAAAAGTAAATAATGAGATATAATTATTATTGCAAAAATATAAGAGAATTCCCTTACATAAATAGCAACTAACCATATCATATCTCAAAAAATGTATACACCTTGGCAAAAAGAGAAAGAAAATAATATAAATGGGATGATCAAGGTAAAAGAAAGAAAGAAAAATATAAAGAAGTATCAACGGAAACTAGATTTGATAAATAAATACAAACAAGTTTCCAAAATTTCAAGCATCAGGAGCTGTGTAGTGCCACAGGATAGTAAGCCTATATTTTTTAATTACACAATGGTCATCAAGATAGTAGGTAAAATTATTATACAGTTGTTTGCTGGAGTGTAACAGTGTAACAGGGTTATTATTTATTGTTAGTGTCAGCAAATTCATTGTATTGTGATCTGAATCGATAGCTTGCCAAAGGCCCAAAAAGTATCTCGAATGTAAAGTTCCAGAGCTGTCTAAACTGAACCCAAATAGAAGTTACTATGAATTTGCAATTTTGTAACATAAAAAAGGAGAAGGAAAAAAAGAAAAAGAAAAAGAGCTTTGGAATTGACAGAAAGGTTTACTCTTGAACAAGTGTTATGCCACATGTAACTTGATGGCAGTGGTAATTAGTAATTACAAGCAACAAAACACGGTTATTCACGGCTTGCACCATTGTCTTCCCAAAACTATGATGAGAGGGTATTAGAAATGCCCTTATAGTATATCATCTCACGAACAAAATATTGAAGTCGGTAGAATTCTTGTTCCATTGTTCTTACGTATATATGGATCATTTGATTTTGTAAACTATCTCTTCATCATCCACATCAAATGCTGGATTACAGAGGCATTTGAAGAGCCTACCGATACCCTGTAGAAGCAGAAATATACATATGTTTGTAATCAGAGTATCACAGACACGTGGTGGTATAAGCTTAATTATAAACTAAAAAGCATTATAAAGAGTAAATTTGAACGCAGATTTTAAGCCCACACGTGATTATTTTTAAATACTTCTATACATGCCTGAGTAAAAAAGGGAGTTCGATAGGAAATTGCTCTAGGCGATTCATCCTCCGAAGAATCACTACTGCTTCCTTCGTCATCAGAATCAGCAGCAATCTTCTTCTTCAATGTTTCTCCTTTTGAATTCTTGTCCTGAAGGAAGAATCATCACAATAGAATGGTTACTAGACGAAAAAATTCAGTTTCTTACAATTGTAACTTGATGATAGAATGTTTAACTCCCTTGTGGGACAGGAATTTTTGGCCTTATAATAAGATGCAAATTGCAAGGAAATCATACACGAATACCAAAATGTCTTGTTTTTTTTTTTTTTTTGGTTCCAGTGTTCGACACAATCATACTGTTTTATGGTTTGACATGATTATAGTTCGACATAATTGACTTCAATTTTCAATTATATCCAAATATTCCGATGCTTATCTTGCATACAGATAGACATAATGCTTATACTGTTAGAAAAGCGGATGCTGGTAAGGAGGATCCTATGGGTAAAAAAAAAATATTAAAGAACCACTCATGGTCCATTTTCCTAGAAAGCTGAAAGCTAGAATACTAGATGAAAAGTAACTAAAAATGTGCACCTGAAATATCTTCCCAAGAATTTTAAGAGCGGTAGCCCGAACTTTAAGTTCCTCTTTCCTAACATTATTTTCCTTTAGCACCTGCAACAACAGATTTATGAATCAGAATCTACTATCTTTTTTGTTTCCTTTGTTCTGCTAGCACGTAATAAAAAGTATCCAGTTCTTGCAAAGGAAATCATTCCGAAAATTCATTATCACGATCATCTCAAATTGCATTAGGAACTAGTGTCCTGGCTTTCTCTCTGATAACCTATTCCTCATTTAGCTTCATTTTATCAGGATAAGTGACAAGGAAACCAATAACCTGTTTCCTGATCAACCACGGAACTTCCCATATCAAATCACACGGCCATACAAGCAGAATTTTACATAATTTCAACGAGTTAAGAACTCACCATTTGACACACGTGTACAAGGGTTACTTCTATGTCCATCACATTTAACTTCCACAACGAATTCATCAATGTATCTTTATTAAGACGAATATGAGAATCAACATCGTTTTCCAGACCACTACCATCCATTTTAAATTGCTTGCGGATGTCTTCTTGAAGCTGAAGTAACTGATAAGCACCTAAATTGCATGTGTTCAATAAAATTAAACATCGTTTGGAATAACCAACTTTCAAGAAAATGTAACTGACTTTTATGGCAGGGATTGCTAATGGCACTATACCTTTAGCAGCTGTGAAGTGTGACTTCCAGAAATGTCCTTTATTGCGTACCCATTCAGCAAGAAATGGCACTCCAAGATAAATGGCTTTTTTCCCTAGTTCTTGTGCTGCCTGTCTTGAATATACGTAGCCGATCGTATGTAACATATCAACTCCAAAGGCTGCATTAGGAGACAGTGGAGACTAATTGGTTATACTTATATAATTGATACAATGATTTGCTACAAACAAAATTTTGTTTAATGTTATAGTCGTTACTATGTAATACTGCTCTCATAAGTCATGACAGAAAGCATTCGAGTTTTGATGGCAAAAACATGTCCGAGGCAACTTGCTTAAAATTTCAATCAGAGAAGTGTTAGAGAGTTCCGTGGTGCATTTACTCTGAACAAGCCACTCAATATTTACAGCATCGAATGATGAGAAATGGCACCATGTGAATCCCTAGGAAAATATTACAAATAAAGGTAGCTTTAAGTTCACTAACCGGCATGAGAAAGCCGTCTTGCTTCAGATTCTGCACGTTGGAAGAATCCCTTTTTGTCACCACGGACATATTGGCCAAGAAAATCTTTCAAAAATCGTGCTAGCTTTTCTTCCCTTTCTTTTTGGACAGCCTATATTGAAACACAGCAATCATACGGTACTTTAAAAAAAAAAAAAAGGTAACCCCACCCCAGACATACACACACACCCTTTTTCTCAAATTGACATCACATCTTTGGCATTCATAATTTGTCCACATAGATCACGTCCAAGTGAAGAATACATAAATCAGCGGATGATGCTACAAGGTTTTAAATGGGCGAGGTACATGGTGAAGTGGATGGTTATAAAAACAGATATGTATACTCGAGGAAAAAGTTGAGAAAAAGAGGCAGAAGTAATAATAATATAATGAGGAGGGATTGTATATATATTAATTTCCTAGACATAGAATAATCATAGAATTGAAATGATTTTTTTCACCACAAATAGAATACTACAACAGAAGATTTAGCAAAACGAAGTAATATAACAGCTTAACTAGTCTGCCCTATCAAACTAAACTTGAAACTTATAAAATAAAGGATCTTGCTAACCAATGCCCTTAAGCATTAGTTAAGGAATTAGAAGTGGAAGGTTTTTATTGAAAATTGTGTTGAATAACATTAAAAATCACAGGAGGAGGTGTATTTATTATATTTTCTAGCAAAAAAATTCTATTTGGTTCCTTAAACAGTGCTCTTAAGGTACCCGTTAGCATTTTCCTAAAATAAATTATGCTGCAGAACAGATGAAATTAATTTCCTCTAGCAATGCAATCTAGTTGTATGTGAATAACAAACGAGCAATGTAGACAGAATTTTTTGGGAGCATCACACAGTAAACCAAATTGATAAGCTTCTACTAGACAAATTACCCAGATTGATTTTTGTTTTCCTTCTACATAATAAGAGCAAGTGTGAAACTGAAAATGTACTGATGTAATATCATCCAGAAACACCACATTGAAAATATAATTACATGAATTGGTGTTTTATGAAAGCAAGAATGAAAACTGAACGTAAAACATACTTGCCTTTAATTTTTCATGCAATTTATCTGGATCCTCACTTTCATCAGCTAGCTCGGAAGAAGCCATTGATGCCACAGCTAGATGCCCTACGTAATCCTCAAACAGTTCACTTCCAAAGAGCAGGGCGAAGACAGCCATTGGGTCAAGCATAGTTTCCCTATCAAGGAATCCATTAGTCTTTCCAGAAAATATCCTCTTCTTCATAGATAGAAAATAGCAATTTGGAGGCATTAAAAAGTGTTTTTATGGAGCTTATTTATTTGAACCAAATTTTTTAACATGTTTCAATTACCACTATTGAAATTTATCAAATTAAGCTTATTAAATTGTGATTATGAAGTAAGTTCTTGTATAATAAGCTCACATTAAATAAACACTAAATAAAACTATTCATTTAAATCCACCCCAAATCTTTAAAATGTGGGGTAAACTGATCTTCTTTCGATTTTTATTGATATGACTGTAGCCTTCTCCATTTTTATTTCCTCTAGATTTTGAGGGATTTGCACTTTTGTAACTCATTGTACTCTGGAACTTATAACACGTTAACATTATTATTGAAATATAATATCAACCTAACTAGAAATATTCACGAGTACTCACGCAAGCCACAATGCATACAAAGACAGAGTGCCAGCAAACACAATAACTCATCATATATACCTAGATACAGAACGCTTCCCATTATGATTGTACGCATTCCTTTGCACCGGATCACTCAAAACTTGGTAAGCTTCACCCAAAATCTGCCAACATCACAAATTACAATACAGTATTAATAAGTATATTATATATAATATAAAACTATCAAAGCACTTAATAGCATTGATTTCATATGGTGATAATAATAATAAATAAATAAATGACGTTACCTGGAACTTTTCGGCGGCACGAGGATCGTTTGGGTTTTTATCAGGATGAACTTGCATTGCCTGTAACAAAAGAAAGAAGCAAGCGTGAAATTCATTAAGAAGAGAAAACAAAAAGTTAAAAGAATAAATGAATGAATAATAATAAAAGAAAAGAACCTTATGATAATAGGCCTTGCGAATTTGGTCTTCGGAGGCAGAGGGAGTGAGTCCGAGAATATCGTAGTACTCTGTTTCCTTCACCATTGTGTGTGCCACAATTGTGAAAGGAGGGAAGAGAAGAGAAGAAAGAGGAATGGAATGAAGAGAGGGTCACGAGGAAGAGTAGGCTTTACAGTTCTGAAATGCAATATTGTATTTCACGGGAAGTGCTTTTTAGCGGCAGAAAACAGTTTTTTAAGTGCCTCTCTGTCCCATTCGCAGTGCCTCTTTCATCATCATACATCCAATAACAGATTACCTTTTAGTTTTAGAGCTGTCCGTGGGCCTTTGCATGATGCCCCTAACTTGAAAGAGAAATTACAACAAAAATTCAACTAAAAAAGGTCCTACCGGGAGTCGAACCCAGGTCGCTGGATTCAAAGTCCAGAGTGCTAACCACTACACCATAGAACCGGTTGACGCTAAGCCTTTAACTTTATATATTTATAAATACAACCAACCGCCATGATTAGTTTCGCGATGAGATCCTCTTCAGTATCTTTATCATTAGATAACATCTTAACCCTTTAAATATTTATTTCATTTTATATAAATAATTATGAATATAACTTTTTGCCTAAAGAATGGTCAGATAAAGCACTAAAAAGGGTGCACTGAAACGCTAAACTTGAGAGTATCCATACCCAATTGGTTTTTTTTATTCAGGAATTTTATAATCTGTAGTAAAGTTGTATCTGTAAACACAACTGTTGTCACTCCTTTATCACCCCGGACATTTCAGATCTTAAGAAAAAGAAACTTTGATGGTGTGTAGTATCAATAGAAATAATATTTTCTTAATTGGTAGTAAAATCATTCAACTTAAAATTAATTAAACAATATAAAATTGTTACTATTAAAGTATATATTTAATTCATGTAATTGACATTTATCTGATAATTAATCTTTATAATTATAAAATTTATATTTTAATCTCTATATAAATATTTTATTATATTAATCATAATGTTATATATATCGTTAGTAAAAGTTATTATTATTATTATTGAGTGACATCAATATTATTTTAATTGTGTTATAGTAGCAGAAAGTAAAATATAAGCATATATTTATATATGAACTAAAACATAAATATTTTAGATATAAAATTATCTTATAAATAAATATCAATTATAAGAATGAAATATATTTTTTCGTTAATAATTTTTGAAAAACAAATATATTAATTTTTTAATCTTAAAAATATATTTTTTATAAAAACTAATGGTCTAACTCATCTTAGTCTAAGATATTTAAGGATAACATTTTTACAAATAAACTTTTGCATATTCTAAAATGTAGTTTAATCAATTTTATTAACGATGACTGACAAATTATGATAAAAATTTTAAAAATTTTTATAAATTTATGGTGGATGAAGTTATGACAAATATAATAAAATATATAAAAATATTATAGATTATATTAAATGATAGAAATAAATTAATTAAAAGTATAACTAGCATAATTCAATAAAAAATAAGTAGTCATCAAATGTCAAATTAGTAATATAAATATCAAGATTATTTATCTAGTCTTCCTCTCCAGTTATAATATAGTCATCTTTTTTCTTATCCACTAAAATATATCCTTACTCCTCTTCTTCTTCATATTCTCGAAGATTAATTTCTAATTCATCTTTTATTTCTTTCTATATGTCTTCATCTTATAATCCCTCATTATCATTATCTTTAATCATCATTTTCTTTGTCTCTTTTATTGTTGAACATGTCCTGATCTTAGAAATTTTTGCAGCTTTAACAGTGATACCACTTGACAGATTCTTTCTTTTCTTAAAATGGTGCCTAGTATATATTCTAGGCTCTCTAATTCTAAAAACTTCATAAACAGTTGCACAATTTAAGTATTATCATCATAAAAAAACTAAGTCATTTCCAGCATCCTCTCATCATGAGCATCATTATCTAACTCTGTAACCAATCACTTATTACACTAATCAATACCATTGAATGTAATTGGATCAATTACATCTTTAAGATTATAATGTGTTTGAGTTATTAGTTATATTTCAAATAAACCTCATGTAATTTATTGTGATTAAATTTGTTCTTCTTCTTTGAATGAATCTGCAATGTAAGTATAATAAAAAAGTATTAATTCGTTTCTTTTTAATTTCTAGAAGAAAGTACTAGGCTTGAGAAATGAGAAAATACTTGCTCAAAAACATTCTAGTTGCGTTCATATCTAGATTTACTAAATGTCAAACTCAAAATTTTGATAACTTGTTACTACAAATGTGGAGCTAAATGTCCATACATTCTCCATTATTGAATTATAAAATCAAAAATAAACTATAACTTTAAAAGTTTTAACTATAAATTAAGTTAAAATTAAAATATTGAAGTTTTTTATTAATTACCAACATCAATGTTATTTCTTTGTGATTTTACAAAGTTAGACCCAAAGACACTACCACCACTATTATAAATTGGTAATTCAAGTAGTATGTTTTGTTGCACATCTTGACTTGGTATGAACCTCTTGATATAATCATACAACCCATTCGTAACCTCAAAATCAAACTCTATTTGAGGGTTATCATAAAAGAATTCTAGGTTTAAAATGTGACCAATATAGATAATGAAGTTAGCAAGTTCATTGCAAACACGTCTTTGTATTTGCTTTCATTATTTTTGAATGACTTCATAATAGCTTCTTTAATTTTCTCCATTACTTCATAAATATATCCTATGACGGGTCTTCTTTCACCATTAACAAAATGTAACACTAGTATAAGAGGGATTGTGTTTTCAAATTGTAAACCATATTATTCTAAAATTTAGGATTTAATACAACTTTTGTTGCTTACTTCCCTTTAGGTTCCTTTGACATTGTCTCACTTCTCAGAAGTAATCATTTTTCTAAGATTTTCCTTGTCTTGATAAAGTCTTTCTAATGATAAAAAGGAAGTTACAAATGTAGTAATAACATTTCTCATCAATTCCATCTTATTTGTAAAATTTGTCAACAAACTCAAGGTACTTGAATGACTTTGGATAAAGCCAACAACATATATTCCTCTTTGAATTGTCTTTTTATTAAATATCATCAAGCATAAGGTCTATGCAATAAGTTCCACAAGAAGTCAATAAAGATGTGGTTTTTTTCTTCCAACATCTTACCTTTTATTATCTGTTATAACTTGCATAATTTTGTCCTCTCCAATCTCCTTCACAAGAGCATTAAGCATTTTAAATAATTTTTTTTATCGATCTTCACAAAATTAGATCCATTAATGGACCTCGTAAAAATAGTCTCAGCATGAGAGTTGATAAGAAATTAATCAAACATCTTTACTTTCGATCAATCCATGCATCTAACATAAGGAAACAATCATATTTGCTCCATTGCTCCTTATGATCTTTTATGAGAGAATCAATACATTCTAACTTCTTTTTAAGAAGTAAAGCTCTAATATCATGATAATTGAGAGTTAGCAAATTTTGTCTAAAAGAATCAATAGTTGTAAGTATTTCTTGAAAACTCTTCAATTTAGCAAGGTTAAAGAAAAATCAGCTTGATACCAAAATTAAGCTATATATTGATAAGTCATTACTTTAACTTCCTTGCCATATAAGTATCTTCTCTTATATTTGCTTGCTTGAATTTTTACTTCTTTCCTTTTTCAATGACACTTTCCAGCTTCCTACAAAACAATTCTATTAGCCCTTTTTTATTTCCCATAACAATATTACATGTTTGACAATCCTCCTCATCCTCACTTTCCTTGATGCTTATATCTTCAAAGCTCCTCACATTAAATATCTCAAAGTTTTCTTAACTTTTTTTATCCTTTTGATATGTCTCAAACTCTTTTTTAACTTCCTTCAGACATTGCAAGCGTTCACGTTATCTTTCTTTTCAATTAAATATTGTTGCACTCTAGTGATTCCAATACTCATGATTTTTCTACAAAAATTGTATACAATATTATTTGTATCACTCTCTTTAACGAAAGAGCATATTTTTATCTCAAACATAACAATTTGATAGAAACTCTTGTTGATTCATGTTAAAGAAAGATGAAATAAAGAGAGAAATTATTTAAAAAAAAAAAAGAACTGAAAGATGGAGAAAGAGAAACTAAAATGAGAGAAATGAAGAAAAACTGAAAAAAGGGAGAGAGAAAAACAAAAACTGAACAAAATGGAGTTACTGAAGATGGATGTAGCAGTCATGATGAAGGCAGTAGTCATTAGAGATGGAGCGGTGGTCGTTAGAGATAGAGCAACAACACTCGTCGGAGTTGCAGCAATGACACTCGCCAAAAAATAAGAGTTAAAGAATAAGAACAAACAAAACCCCTCCCACGTGACAGAAACAAAAACATGATAATGGAAAGATGCAAAAAACAGAATCAAATAAAGAAGAGAGATAGAAGATGAGAGTCAAAATGTGAGAAAAAAAAAGAGAAAAAATAAAGAGATACATAGGATATTAGAGTTTAGACTTATAAATATTTTTTATAAATCGAGTTAAAATCTACGAGTTTTTTACAACAATATTATAAAAAAAATAAAAATACCCAAATAGAATGGAGGCCATTTTAATTATCCAACTAGACCTAAATAGTTTTTTTTTGTTTTTTAATTTTATTTTATGTTTTTATATAATAAATTAAATATTATTATTTAAATTATATTTATATATTTATATTTTATTAAAATAAATATTTATAAACATTTTGTTAGTTATATATAGTAAAATAAGTTTTATTATTTGAATTATGTTTATATATTTATATTATTTAAAAATGAATAAAACTAATAATATTATTAAATTTAAATGTTTATTAAAATTTATTTGACATATTTAAAATAATAAATAATATTTTTATTTTTCTTATTATATTATTTAATATAATTTTGATTTTTTGAAAATGATATTAATATTATATTTTGAAATTATATTTTTAGTTATTTAATTTTATATTATTTAAAAAAATAAAAATTACAGTAATAATTTATTTAATTTTAAATTTGTATAAAATAAAAATTATAATAAAAATTTATTTAATTTTTTAT